ACATGATAGAGAGTAACATTCTGCCTCTCCCCACCCCCCATAGATATAGGGATAGTGTTACAAAGATGCCTCTATGGGACTGTAGTTCATTGGGTCAGCTCCATTTTCTTAGTCACCCCATCATAGTACAACTTGGTTACTGATGAGAGAATGGTTTGTTTCTGAAATCAAGTTTAGGAAAAAGAAAAAAAAAATCTCATCTCACAGTATGAAAATGCTGTATAATATTTACTTCTGAAAAAATTGAGCATTTGGTTATATAAAATGTTTGAGAATTTTAATAATTCCCCAAATTCAGCCCTTTACCACACCAATTATTTTTGGATCTTAGAGTTAATAATATAGATATGTCCAGGTACAACTTTATCCTATTTACATAAAGAAATATTAGAAATTCAAGATATCTTTTATAACAGAATTAAAAGTTTAGTAGTTTAACATGGATGGCACCAGACCAGGCAGTGTTTCATTCTGTTTTACGTATGAGTTGGAACTGACTCCATGGCACCAAACAACAACAACAGTTTAACACAGCAGAAGAAAATTTATAATAGCCTGTTAAGTCTCATATTTCTTTTAATCAAATTGATAAGTGATCACAAAAGAAAGGGAAATATGCTAATTCATAGCAAAAAATTTATAGCAAAATGCTGACTATGAACTAATTTATCCAATCTTCCTTAGGTCAAATGGAAGTTATTTTTATTTTGTCTTTCAAATGACTTAGAATAAAGTGTACTAGTTAACTGGAAATAAGATGAGAAAACAAATGAAAGAACTAAACATTCGTCCGCAATACAAGGGGCTTTTTCATTCCTTAAACAGTGAAAATAATGGAATAAATTCTGGACAGAAATACTCACACCAGCGTTCATACATATAAGAAAAAGGCAGATTCTGGGATCAAATTCCTGAGACAGACAGACCCTGGGTCTGATCTTATCAAGAAATTTTCAGTCTTTGTTTTTTTTCCCCAGGGATTTGGCTCTACAAACATTTCTAAATCAAACAAGAAACTCAGAATGCACCAAAATCACTTGAGAATAACCACAGGCTGGAGGGAAATGAGCTTTTTTTTCAGTGCTAAATTCATCGAGGCACTTTTATCAACCTGGTAACTGCATTAACAAAACATATTTCCTGAAGGGCAAGATCAACCGAAAATGGGGTCAGACCCATCTCACTAAAAACCAAACCAGAAGTGAGATAAAGAGTGGCATGGATATAGCACTAATGGGATAAGCTCTACACAGATGCAAAGCTTTTGCACAGCCCTTTTGCTCGTTTTACTGAGTCAGCTTTGATTTTTTTAAGACACTGATTTCTATTCTATGTTCCACCAAAACCAAAACCAAACTCACCCCCGTGGAGTGGGATCCGACTCATAGTGACCCCTCCCTGGGTTTCAGAGGCAGTTGTATCCGTTGTTGTTAAGTGCCGTTGACCAGAGCTCCTATTCCACAAGACCTTGGAAATCCATGAAGCATCTATTTACTGGGTCCTGACCAGCCACTCCTCAGAAGTAAGGTTGGGCAATCTACTTCCCTAGTGATATCACCTGGGAAACCCAAGGAGGGGTCACTGTGAGTCCAAATCTACTTGAGGCAGTGAGTTTGGTTTGGTTTTTGCTTTTAGAGACTGGAGACATCTTCACTGTGCTTGGTTCTATCATTTTCAGGTATTCAAACCACACTAAAGCATAATGGCTATAACCTCAGAATGTGCCATTTTCCTCTCCAGCAGTTTGATAAACTGTGAGTCATTATTTGGTATACTATGGCCAGTGAAGGCACAGTATTGATATCTGACAATGTGTTTCAGTGATTGGATTGGGGGTGATAAAGGTCATAGGGCTCAGGAAGACAACAGGTTGCATAAAAACTCTTGGTACACATATGCAAGTTTTTGACTGGAAGGCTCATCATAAGGTCATATTGGACTCCACATAACCACAAGTAGTCTCACAGAGGAAATTACTGCTTAAAATCAATGCTTGCGAATAAATAAGGCACTACATTAACATTAGTGGCACAGAAATCCAAAATATAGCCTCAAAAAGAAGTATTTTTGTTTTCCTTTTTTTCCCCCTTGGATAATAATACTCCTGGGATGTTTGCAGGGGGGTGAGAAGGAGGTTAGTAGCCACCTTCTTCCTCATAATTTTCTGTCACAGACATATGCACATAATATCAAATTACAGTGTTTTTGTTTTGCTTCTTTTCATCTTGGGAAAATAATTCCTAGGATGTTTAAAGGGGAAAAATGGGAAGTTGGTAGTTTATTTTGCACAGACATAAATTCTAAGAGAGAAAAGCAACCTCTAGATGAGTAGATAAAGCATCTAAATTGAACAAAAAAAAAATCTGCAGCATGAAATGCTAGGCATAGTCACATTATGACACTCTGCACAGGGGCCATTTTCCCAGTGCACGTGGAAAGCCAGTGCTGCTTTATGAAGCCACTGTTTTGCTGCTGCTGTCTAGCCCTCCTGCCCCCCCATGAGGTGGCCTGCTGGAGCTGTGCTGCTGGTGGTGAATGGAAGGAAATCCTGGCACATGGTTCCTGGTGCTACCATAGTTCTGAAGCTTCAATGAAAATGGCAGTGATGGCCATTTCATAAAGGACAAAACTCTCTTCTCCTATCCCATGCAAAAGTTAGTGACAGTGAAGGACACCATTCTACTAAGCCTACCTTTGTCCCAGGGCTGTGTGCAAATACTCCAGGAGAGAACTTGAGAACTAACAAGGATGCAACCATCTCTTTTCTCAGGAAGGTGTCCTTGTCAAATCCATCCCATATTGTCTTTCTTAGGCAATCCAAGAATGAACTTGGCATGTTTATTTGTCACTCCTCATCTTTGCTTTCTTGCTTTTTTCCTAAACATCCCCCAAATCACCTTTATTTTACAGGACGATTGTTACTTATTTTAGTGAGAATAATGTATATGTTAAGCATTTAGAGTCTTGTGAACTGGTCATTATTGAAGAATATCAGTAAGAGTCTTCCAATCATTCATAAGAACATGCTTCCCTTAAAAATACTGCTTTATTCTAGCTCTTTATTCTAGTTTACTGATTGGTGAGATTATCTAGTGAAGCAAAATTTGTAAACAACAAGAAAGGGAGTTACATGATAGCTAGATCATCAACCATTGCTGTTCTACACTATGTGAACTCACTGGATGAGATTCATGGGTTCTTTCATCATTCTTTTAGTATATTAGAAATAAAGTCTCAGGAGGGGAAGAAAAAGTGAGATTGCTTTTCCTTGTTCTGAAAAGTCATGTGTATGCTGGTCCTAAAGAACAATCCCTGGCATAGTGCGTGGTTATATGTGATGTTATTTATGCCAAAGTGACCCTAAAAATGTTCCATCGATGATGACATCCAGATCTCTGCCCAGTTTTTTGTGTTGCTGAATTTGTTTCATCCATGTTTGCAACTGGAAGCTATGATTTGTTTTCTCTTCTGGGTTCTCAGGAAGAATCTGATGTTGATTCTATTAGGATACAACAAATATTATTTCAAGAAAAAGATAATACATTATAATGCTTAGCATTTATATAGGCTCTTTTGATTTCAAAACAAGTTATAAATATGTCCTACCATCACAACATCCCTGCGAGGTAGGTGAATATGACTGTTTCTACATTATTAATAGAAATCGAGGCCAAGAGTGGAAAGACTCTGTCCTGGGCCACAGAAGGTGTCAGGGCCAATGTCAGGACGGGGCATCCTGACCATTGGCCTTGGCTCTGAAGAGCCTATGCCTCTCTCTCATGTAACAACAGTCTCCATTAATATAGAATTATATATTGTATAGATAGAAAATAGCAACACACAATGACATTATAGAACAATAATTCAATCAATATTTGTTTCTTAATAAAATATGTTAAGCACAGTATTTAAATTGCATTTCTCTGAAAAGCATTTGGTATATTAAATGGCAGAAGGTATATTAAATAGCTCTATAAACATTTGCTGGCATCCTCTTAACAGCATGATGATCCGAAGAAATTGAAATCCACCGATGCATAAAGATATTTGCTTTATAATACAGAAACTAATAAAATAAAATAAAGTGAGATAGTTTATTGTCATAATGCAGACTTAATAGCTTGCTAGATATTAGCAGGTAGCTACATAATTTTTTCTGAGTTTGAAAGAAAAGAAAATGCTACACATATTGCTGGCTGTGATTTTAAAATACCAATTTAGTAGGGGAAAAAATGCAGTTGAAAAGTAAAAATTAAAGATGACCATTTCTGTTTTGCAGCAATTCTAAGAAATTCATATATTTTCAAAAGATATGATCATACTTGGAACTAATGTTGAAGTGAATATATGGAGTCTATGTAAAAAAGCATTTTCTGAACAAGTGAAAATGATACAAAATGAAAGCTATGGTATTAGCAAAAATTAAACAAGGAGGCAAAAAGGGTATTTTTTAAAGAGTTCTGAAAGTTGGCATGATGTGTAAGCTGTTTCTGTATGGGTCTTGGAGATGGTTTATGAGGATAAATACTTGCTTTTATCAGTCTCTTCTCCAAGGAGAAATCCTCACTCTCCTCTCTAGGTCAGGAATTCTCAGTCTGGTGTTAAAGAGCTTACCTCATGCTAAGCTTCCTAAGAATTGACCAGGTGAGTCAGCAGAAAAAGTTCTAAAACTAGAAAGGCAGAGGAATCCAAGTTTTAAAATTTGTATGCAAACATAAAAACTACCTCTTAAGCCGAAATGACGTTCTCTGTCAGAAGTAATAATATAAAAGTCTTAAATTTAGTGTATACGGTGCTAAGATATTGTTACATAGTTGTTACATGTACTTCAGAGAACGTTTTTAATAAGTGTGCTTTTTTTTTCCCTAAGAAAAGGACATATTAATTTTTTTTTCTCTCCTCAAATCCTTTGTTGTTGTTGTTGTTTGCCGTCGAGTTGGCCCAGATGGAAATATGAAATTTGGAACTGTCCCGTCAGTCTGTTAATTCTTTTTGGGCACTCAAGGGTCCTTCCTGCTTACATTGTATGTGGCAGTTTTGTTGGAGGGGGGTTTGAGTTTGAAGAGGCTTGAGCAGTTTGGCTGTTTGGTTGGTTGTAAGGTTCTGGCATAGGGTGAATACCAGTCCCTTTCAAACACATCTTTAAGTTGCTTAATGATGCTTGTGTCGTTGTTCACATCTGCTTGATTGATAACAAGGCCCGTGCCAGCATTCTGGGTAAAATCATTCCCTACCCAGTCAAAATTTCCTGCAAACAAGCAAAGGAAATCATGGTGAGGAATTAATATCCACTGGGGAATATTCCTGATATAATGAAATACAGAGCAGATTTTATTTTAAAGAAATAAACATCCAGGAATAATGACAGGCAGACTGAATTGTGTTGACAGCTCAGGGAAAAAAAAACAAAAACAAAAAAAAAACAAGAAGCTTTACATATGGCATATTAATATTTGCATATTATGTTGGCATTTTCTGCAGCTTTGCACAACTTGAAACTCAAAACAAGGAATCTGCTGTTCCTTTTTTGTAAATGTTATTTCTTATTGACATTCACAAGACACACTAAATACAGCAATATTTAAAATATATAGGAATATATTTAAAATATATAGGAATATATTTAAAAACACTGTGAGCAATTACCACCTTCTCAAAGACACAACATCGAATCTATATGTACAAATGAGGGATTCTGATTATAATCCTCAAAAACTTCCACATCAAAGAGAAAGCTGAAGTCAGAGAAGGAGCATCAGTTCTAACTGAATACACATACTTGCCTGGCTTGGATTATAAATCATTTTTAAGGCACAGCACCTGGCCCCTTGGCTCAGGAGTCTGGCAGTGATTGTGAGAGCAATTTCCCAGGTACAACTGCTGGGATCTACCCCAGAATGAGCTTATTATGGCTACTCTACTTACATGGAGCCCCATATTCAAAGTGGGGGTTAATAAAAGGGCTGGATTACCCCCAAGACTCACAACTCGTCTGTCAGTTTGTCATGCTATGGCAGCATGAGGGAAGCTCTAACACTGGTATTTCAAATATTGGTAGGGTCAGTCATGGTGGATGAGTTTCAGCAGAGCATCTAAACTAAGACAGATGAGGAAGAAAGGCCTGGCGATTTACTTTCATAAGTAAGACAATGAAAAATGGATCACAACAGAATATTGTCTGATATAGTGCTGGAAGATGAACTGGCTAGGTTGGAAGGCACACAAAATACACAATGAGCATAACAATGGATTTGACATACCAATGATCATGAAGATGGCACAGAATCGGGTGATGTTCTATTCTGTCATACATGGGGTTGCCATGAGTTGGAGTTGATTTGTAGTGACTAACAACAACACCTCAGGATACTCACAACTAATCTCTTGTCTTTTGTACTCAGGTGGGAAGTGGATCCAGCAGAACAACAAAGGATTCTCCTCAGGAGAATACAGTACTGTTCATTTCTTTGATCTTCTTTGTCCTTTATTCAATACATATTTCTGAGTGACTACTATGATCAGCCATCACTCATCTGTCAGTTTGTTGTACTGTGGTGACTTGCATGTTTCTCTGGGGCTGGAAGCTATGTCACTGGTATTGCAAATACTAGCAGGGTCACTCATGGTGGACAGGTTTCAGTGGAGCTTCCAGACTAAGACAGACTTGGAAGAAGGAAGGGGACATCCACTTCTAAAAGTATTGGCCAGTGAAATCCTTATGAATGGCAGTAAAACACTGTCTCATATATTACTGCAAAACTTTATTAATGGCCCTGAAACATTGTCTGATATAGTGCTGAAAGATGAGCCTCTCATGTTGGAAGGCACTAAAAATACAACTGGAGAATAGCTGCCTCCTCAAAGTAGAGTCAACCTTAATGATGTGAATAGAGTAAAGCTATTGGGACCTCCATTTGCTGATGTGGCATAACTCAAAATGGGAAGAAGGAGCTGCAAACATCCACTGATAATTGGAACATGGAATGTATGAAGTATGAATCTAGGAAAATTAGGAGTTACAAAAATGAAATGGGAACTTCCAGTAAGATGGAGGAATAGGCAAAAAGTTATACAGACCATCTTCAACAAAGAAAAGAGAAACCAGTTGACAGAGATGCAGAAACAATCTTGGAGCCCTGAGCTTTGAAAGGAAGTATACAGAAATGGATTAGGCACCAAATAGTGGAAAACCTGAATGAAAACAGGAGCTAAGAATAGGCTGCATTAGCCAAGGACAGCAGGGGCAGGCACTGGGAAAGGAGACAAGTGGTGAGTGTATAAGTGCTGCCAACTAGTGAATAGAGGAGGGCAGCACAATACCCTGCTTGTGTAGATAACATACAAAGAAAACAAAAATCCTGGGTAAGTCATTACAACATAAAATCACCAATTAAATATAAACATAAAAACATCAAAATGCCTCGGAGACAACAGAGCATCACAGTCCACACAAAGAAGCAAGATAAAGCAGGAGGAACAAGGGACTAGGATACAGACCCAAAACACATCCCTGAGGAAGACACAGCATTGGAATTCCCTGATATGGAATTCAAAAGAATTATATTTAGGTCTCTTCAGTGAATTGAGAGACAGATGAGGGAAAACACTGACAAAATTGAGGAAAACATGGAGAAAACCCTAGAACAATTTCAAAAGACAATACAAAAACAAAATGATAAAATAAATGAAAAATTAGAAATGATACAAAATCTACAGATAGAAATCCACAAGATTAATACTAAATTTTCAGAAAGAGATAAGACACTGAATGTCAAAGGGGTAAAATTGAATCACTGAAAGACAGAATTAGTGAGATTGAAGGCAAATACCTCAATACTTCTGCAGAAAGTGATCAATCAGAAAGAAGATCAAAACAAAATGAAGAAAGCCTAAGGTTCATGTGGGATACCATCAAAAGGAATAACCTAGGTATAACTGGAATTCCAGGACAGGAAGAGACAATTAAAACCACAGAAAAAATTGTTGAAGATTTGTTGGAAGAGAATTTTCCTGGTATGATGAAAGATGAGAATATATCCATTCAAGAAGTCCAACAAAACCCAAACAGGATAGACTCCAAAAGGAAATCACCAAGACATATCATCATCAAACTCACTAAAATCAAAGACAAAGAAAAAATCCTGAAAGCAGCACAGGAAAAATGAAAAGTTACCCTACAAGGGGCAACCAATAAGACTAAGCTCAGATTTCTCAGCAGAAACCATGCAGGCAAGAAGACAATGGGATGGTATATATAAAACCCGAAAGAGAAACATTTCCAACCAAGAATTATATACTCAGCAAAACTGTCCCTCAAATATGATGATAAAATTAGGACATTTCCAGATAAGCAGAAACTGAGGGAACTTGTTAAAACCAGACCAATCTTACAAGATATGCTAAAAGGAGTCCTTTGGACAGAGAACCAAAAGCAACAACAACAACTGACCATTAACACACATGGTAACATAATCCAGAAGTCACCCAGCTATGAAGTTTCCAAAGTAAATAAGCCTACAGGAATGTAAACAGGGAACCAGAGACATCAAATTGACAAATAAGGACAACTACAAATGAAAAGGAGCTCTGGTAGCATAGTGGGTAAAGCACTTGACTGCTAATCAGAAGGCTGGCGGTTCAAACCCACTAGCCACTCCTCGGAAGGAAGGTTGGGCAATCCTACTTCCGTAGTGATACTGCCTCAGAAA